TGTGTGTTTGTGTGTGTGTGTAACAGAAGCAAGGAACTTGTTGGGAGGTACTCACGTGGGCAGCTGGGTAGGCCTGTAAACAATGTCTTGCACCTCTCTGTTCTGTTTTTTATGTCCAATTTTGCACAGTGTTCATCACCTAAGCAAGTCTTTTAAAAAATAGTAATAGTCCAGATATTGTTTTTCAATCTCACCCAGTTATGACTTCCCAACCTACCTCTACTCATTGGGGTGGGGACATCAGGTTGATGAAATCTTATGTAGAGAAGAGCCACTTTTGCATAGAGCATGATTGCAACACTGTTTAGAAAGAATTAGGAAATGAGTTATCAAGTTCTTTTCTTTTTGCAAAGGCATATAATAGCGTTTGCAAATAGCATTAGAGAAACCAGCTGTCCCAGAGGCTACCAGTTACCAACCAGTGCAAGCTCATCCCACTTCCAGTTTATGGGACTGGAATATCCAGAAACCAGCTTGCCCTAATACAGCCCTGATATATCCCAATAGTGTGATCAGGTGTAGTCTCTTCAGCTCCAGTACTTAAGGAACCGAGGACCTACCATCAATATCCTCTGTGAAATGAAAGCCTTGGAGATAGCAGAAATGTTTCCCGTGGACTGCTTCTCTCCTTTTGCATGGGGATCATGCCCAGTGCAGAGTCAGGTCCCCTCTTGGGCTCTCTCCTAGTTCTGGGAGTGTTTTTTTTTTATTATTATAGAATATTTATTAAAGTTTAAACATTGCAAAAAAACAGAAACAAAACGAAAGAAAAATATGAGCAATAAACAATTACAAAACCTCAAAAACAAAAATAAATACAGAAATACAAAACATCAACAATACAAAAAGGAAAAAAAAGAAAACAAAAGCATTAAAAAGGAAAAGAAAACCCCCAAAAAGAACAAACAAACATACAAAAGAACCACATATTTTCATATCCTTATCTTTCACCTGCCCACCTCCTCGACTTCCTCACACCTCCTTTTTTGTATTCTAGTTCAATTAAATATTCCAGCAAGTCCTTTCCCTCTTTCACAAATTCAGTTCCATGGTTTAACTTAACGCAGCTTTAAACTTAAATTTACCTCTTTACCCAACGTCAATCCATTCATACTTGATTCTTTACAATATTTCCACTAAAGTCATATAACTTCTTTCCAGCATCTTTCCAACACCCATTAATTTTGGAATATTTCTGTAAATAAGCTTTGAACTTCCTCCAATCCTCCTCCACCGACTCCTCTCCCCGGTCCCGGACCCCGCCAGTCACCTCCGCCAACTCCATGCAGTCCACCAGCTTCATCTGCCACTCCCCCCCGGCAGGCAAGTCCCGTGTCCCCCAGTGCTCCGCGAGTACCCCCGCTGCTGTTGTAGCACACATGAAAAAAACTCTGTCCCTCTTTGGCACCAACCGGCCCACCACGCCCAGGAGAAAGGCCCCTGGCCTCTTCAAGAAGGTATATTTAAATACCTTTTTCATTTCATTATAGATCATCTCCCAGAATGCCTTAATCTTTGGGCATGTCCACCAGAGGCGAAAGAAAGCACCTTCAATTTCATTGCATTTCCAACATTTGCCACCAGGCAAATGACAAACTCCCGCAAGCCCGACCGGTGCCATGCACCACCTGCAAACCACCCCCACTAAATTCTCTTTTAAGGCACCGCATGCCGTAAACTTCACACCAGTGGTCCACAACTGCCCCCAGCCAGCCATCACAACACCATGTCCAACATCCTGTGCCCACCCAACCACAGCAGACCCCACCACCCCATCCCGAGCACTCCACTCCAGCAGCAAGCCACACACCCCCGACAAATTCCCAACCCCAGGGTCCAACAACTCTGCCTCCAGCCCCGATTCCCCCACTTGAAAACCCAGTCCCCCGTCCTGACCACATGCCTCCATTATTTGACAACAATGGAGCCAATCTCGCACTCCGCTTCCCAATCCCTCAAAGCTCTGCAATTCCAATCTGTCCCCCTCTTGTTCCAAGATTTCCCAATACTTCGGCCACTTGGCCTCCACATCGAGTCCCCTCTGGGCCCCCGCCTCCACAGGTGACAGCCATCCCGGGGTCCTACTTTCCAACAAATCCCCATATCCCATGTTCTGGGAGTGTTTGTTCTGCAGAGATCAGTAACCTGGCTTTTGTTTGCTTCGTAAACTATCTAATGCCTTTCTCATTGATGTACAAACAAGAAATCAGTCTAGAGGTCAGTGCAGTTGGGACTAGATGTCAGGACTCCTGGGTTCTTTCTCTGGACATGGATGGATGAAAATAAAGAAGGGAAGGTCTCTTTCTTATCTTTGACCATTTTCTGTTATGTGGCTTACTTCCTTTGCTTAGGTTGGGAACGGGTTGTGCACTGGATTGAACTGTGTGTGTTTGTGTGTGGCTTCTGACTCATTGTGGGGAGAGCATAAGTGTTTCTGGAGTTTTATAAAGCTGAACTTCTTGCTTTGGGGCACTTAATTTCCCTCATGTATCCGACTAAAAATCACTTGCCCAATGATTGGCTAAGATTTGTCTCAGTCAACAGGGAGGTTTACATTATTTTCATCGGTTATGCCACAAAATGCTGAGATTTAGACATTAGTTTTAGGTCCTGTGGCTCCTGGCCAACTGGTGTCCTCTGATACTGCCCCTTCCCATGAGCAGGCACCTACTTTCATCTCAACCTCCCTCCCCAACCTGAGTTTCCTTCTCCAAAGGAGCACAGGTGATCCCACAAAGGTACCTCATTTCAAATAAATTCGTCCAGAGCCAACATGTCTCAGCAGTGAAAATTGCCAGTCCTTGTTGGCTGGCCCAGCTAGCCTTTCCTAACCTCACTTCCCAGTGGTCTAGAGGCACCAGCCAAGGCTTGCCAGGCCTAGCCTGTCTTTGGCTGCTAACTCACTGGAGCTCAGCCCAGGTAGAATTGGTGCTTGACAACTCCAGCTGGCATATCCCAGTTTTCTAGTATTTGCCCAGCTGGATAGCCATCAATATTGCATTCCAGTGTCATTAGCAATAATGAATCGGACTTCCTTCCTGACAGTATGTATCTCAGGATATATCTTCTCAACTGTTGTGCAGATTTCACTCCAGGTGCTCTACAAGTGATCCGTCTTGGGGTTGGTATTATTGTAGGGCAGTGTGGAATTGGCTGCATGAACGTGGAAAGGCATATATTGGCTAGTGACCATGTCATCATTAATGATTAGCAACACCACTCCATTCCTCATGCCATACATTAGTTGTAAGTACATTTAAACACACCCTTTAGAGAAGGGATACTTACAGTTGTATAGTAGCAGTGAAAAGCCCTCACTCTGGGCCTGTGAAGTGGCAAAGGCCAGCATGGCAAAAAACAGCAACAACCTAATTCTACATATGCATTCACAGAGTCTGAACTGGTGGTGACTGAACAGGAACGAGAACCAGGTTGTAGTGAATAGCTCAATGGCAATATTGTGCATCAGTGTGCATCAGCTGTGGAAAAAGTGAATTCTGTGCTAAAGGATCGTTAGGAAAGGGATTGCAAACACACACACACACACACACACACACACACAAAATCTGCCAATATCATAATGCCTTTACTGTATACAAATCTCTGATGTTACTGCACTTGCAATACTGTGAGCAGTTCTGTTTGCCTAACCTCAAAAGGGATAGTGTAGAACTGGAAAAGGTTCAGAATAGAGCAACCAAAATGATCAAAGGGATGGAGCAACTCCCTTTTGTAGAAAGGTAGATTTGGATCTTTCTACTTTAGAGTAAGAGGCGACAGGATAGAGGTATGTAGAATCATGCATGGTGTGGACAAAGTGGACAGGGAGAAAGGAGAAGTTTTTTGCCATCGCTCCCAATACTATGACTTGGGACCATCCAATGAAACTCAGTGGTGGAAGATTCAGGATAGACAAAAGAGTACTATGACCCCAAGAGAGCAATGGCCATAGACTTGGATGGCTTTAAAAGAGGATTAGACAAATTCATGGAGGACATCAAAAACAACTATCCACAATGGCTCTGTTCCACCTCCACTGTCAGAGGCAGCATGTCTCTGAGTACTAATTGTTGAGAATCACTAGTGCAGAGAACCCTGCTGCACTTGGGTCCTGCTTGTGAGCTTCCCGTAGGCAACTGGTTGGGCACTGTGGGAACAGGTTGCTGCTGTGGGTCCTTCTCTTGATTCAGCAGGGCTGTTCATATGATCCAGATGATACTACTCTTTCTTTCTGCACTCCAGTGATTCGGTTACTTGTTCTTTAGTAAGGTCCTGTCCCCCGCCATCTCCTTGATTATGTTAGAAAGGGATATGATGTGGTTGAGTCTGAATCGTAACAAGCCACAAATGTCCACTCAAAATGCAAAACTTTTAATTCTCTAGGTTTATAGACTGTTCACAAGAAAGCTCAAGGTATCTTTGTGTGCTGTTCTGTTTCTTACATACCGTACTCTAGATTTTGTGGGTAAGCCTTTGGAAGGTGGGAAATCAAGTGCGGATTTCTACCTCTATTAAAGGTAGGAAATGGGTGTATTTCTTGCCTCTTCCAGTCCTAGAATGCTATGCTTAATATAAATTATGCAAAGCAGTAATATGTATGCAATAATATGTATGCAAATACCTTTAATTAACATAACTTGCTCAATTGGCATATTTTCTTCTTAACCAAATATTTGAGTATTAGGAGAATTTACAGTTCTTTTGGCAGAGAGTGGTGGAATGGCTGGATGGAATGCATGCATGGGTGGCAATAGGAGAACAAAGATGAAGGGCACAAAGGTGGACCAGGAGGCTAGGAAGAGCCACCCAAACGTGCTCCCCTAAAAAGTGCAGCCTTCTGGAGATAAGTGCTCCAATGCAGAAAATTTATTATGGGTGCAGGAAACCTGGCACTCCCCTGGGTTGGCATGTTCTCTTGAGTACATTGATCTTTTCTCTCTACTGAAATTAGTGGGGCAACCTGTGCTTATTCGAGTTCTCTGTGTGCATCACATCTCCAGGCTGTGGCTCAGTGGCAAAGCAACTGCTTTTCATGCAGAAGGTCCCAGGTTCAATCCCCAGCATCTCCAGGTATAACTGGGAGAGACTTCCCACCTGAAATCCTGCAGAAGAGCCACTGCCAATCGGTGCAAGCAATACTGAGCTAGATTGACAATAGTTTGACTAGGTCTAAGGCAGCTTCTTGTGGTCTGGATGGGTATTTTTGGATATTCTCTTTGAGAACTAGACACACGTTTTAGAAAAAAGCTAAATTCTGCACCTGATGCCATACATACTTCTGTCTATGCATAACTAATGATGATGATGATGGAGTCATGTTTATAGTGGATCACAAACTGCATGTGCCAGAAAGTGTCATGTGCGATTGCACTGACTACTAGAGCACCAAGCCTTAGATAATATCACTTCACTTGGCACCGGATAGGTTGCAGCTGGAGGATGGTATGTCCAGTTTCAGTCACCAGATTTTAAGAATGCTGCAAAGAAACTGGAGGGAGTTCAAAGGAGGGTAGCTAAGATGATAAATGGTTTGGAATGCGAGACGTATGGGGAAAGGTTGAAGGAATTGGGGATGTTCAGCTTAGAGAAAAGAAGATTAAGAACATGATAACAGTCTTCAAATATTTAAAAGCCTGCTACAAAGAAAATGGGAAACAGTTGTTTTCCCTCACGACAGAGCAGGACAGCAGAAAATGGCTTTAAGATGCAGGGAGGAAGATTTGAGTCAAATAGTAGGGGAAATGTCTAAGTTGGGCAATTGAGTACTCCCGAGGAAATAACAGAACATTAAGTCCCTATGTAGGGAAGTCATGGAACTGCTTTCATTTGTGATTTATAGAAAGTGGCTAGATAAACACCAATCAAATATGATATATTGGATTTAGATTGCCAAATGTGGCTGATTTCCCCCCCAAGAATAACAACTAACACCCTTATTCTGAAAGATCACAGCTCCATTAAGCTTAATGGATGTGCCTTAAGTTATTCCAGAACACCTCTATGCATCTCTTAGGAAAGAAACCCAGAACTCCACATGCCTCCTCCTTTTTTAGACTCGCATCTGGCAAGTGTAAAATACGCTCTCCTTCGTTGTGACAGGTGGAGCGTAGACTGAGCCAAACAGTAGGCTGATCCTTGAGGTTCTTTGCAGCCCATTGAGTCTGTGAAGCTGTATGTAGGAGCCCACTTCTCCCCAAAAGTGTTTGTGAAGCTGGTGGGGAGATGGGAATCTCCAAGGCCGCCTTTTCTTGTCAGATCACTTGTAGGGAAGGGGAAGCATAACACTTTCCATCTGGTATTGAAGGTGGTGCTGCAGTTTAGCAGATACCAAATGCTGGACCTCCCCTTCTCCAGCTTCATAGGTCACATCAGAGGGGCACCTGGTAAGAGGTAATTTGTGTATTCAAGAGGAAAAGAAGGTTGGTCCATGTGCATTGCCTCAAAAAGATGGTGCTATTTGTAACAGACTGTGCGAGGCCTGCCTCAAAATAAGGCTGCCTCATATGCCCCAATATTCATCATCTTTTCTAAAACATATTCCAAGGTGCTTATACTTAACCCCTCTAGGTTACCAGCTGATTAGAAAAAGGGTTGTTCTTGTACCTTCAAGAGCAGCTTGATCTGTAGAAATCAGGAGAAGTGAGGAGGTGCTTTTTGATGGTACAGAAATAAGCACCATCACCCTAACGTCTGTAGATGAAGCTGATGTTAAAGGCAGAGGAGCACAGGATGGTAAAAAAAGTTGATAACCTTATTCCCCCACCATTGCCTATGGCTATTCTACCTGCCACAGAAGGTGAGCACATCTCAGACAAGACTATTTCCCAGCCTTGGAAGTTTGCTTTGTTTCTTGATCCCTGCAGAAATATGTAAATCTGCAATATGTGCAGATATGGTGCCTCAATATAGCATTTTAATCACATCTAAGAAGACAATTGGGGAAGGGGAAGAAAAGTGCAAAACACAGAGCTGCCTTTTTTGGCAGGGGATAACCTGCTGCAGCATAAACACTGGATGCATCTTTAATTTGGCAGCAGTTAAATGAGTCAGTGGTTGGATGCAAGAGCAGAAGAAGCCCTTCTGAACAAACTCGTGTCCAACTATGTTTTTGCTTTAGGAAAGTAAGATGAAGACATTCCTAAGCATCCTCTTGGGGCTTCAGTGCTGAGGGATGACAGGAAAAAAGGTAAAGCATATGAGCTTGCTAGGTGAAGCCACTGAGTGACTGAAGCTTACGGGGTCTCCTTGGGCCAATCTGTATTCCTTCTCAGCCCAGCCTACCTCACAAGGTTGTTATGTGGATACCAAGAGAGTAACCACCAGGCCACCTTGGAGGAAGAGATGGCTCAAAATGGAATACATAAGTAAATAGAATAGAGCAACTTTAGTTAAGCCAAATTACCCGTCAGGAGTGGGGGCAGCAGGGCTTTCTTGTGATAGTCAAAATTAGGCACTTACTGTATTTTTAAAATATAATGTCACTTGCACACATCTTACACATTCATTTTAAAGGCAATGTTTACAAAGGCAAGCTTTGGGCGGCGGGGGTGTGATATGCAGTTTGTCTCACATATAAAATAAAACGTATGCTGTAACACATACGTTGCTCAGACATCACTGTCATTCAAAATAGAACGGTTTTCGCGTAGATGAAAGAACACACACACATTGCACTTTTTAAAAATACAATCCTAGAGACTCGCGCGCCAGGTTATGATCCCGCGGGGCCACCGTGGGGGCGGAGCCCTCGCATTTCCAACCTCCTCCCCTCCCGGGTGACTTGGCCGACCCCTCCCCCCACCCACAGCCTTTTCGCTCTGCAGGGTTAACACCAAAGTTTCCTCGTTTAGGAAGCGCCATCAGAAGCAATTATTGCTTTAATTACCTGCTGTCGGCGCGGGCCGGGGAGGTTGTAAAGTGCGCTAAAATCTTTCATTGTAATGGAGTGCCAGCCCCGCGGCGGGAACTCGATTTATAAGGCTCCAGATGGTATCTTTAACTCCGCCGTGAAAACCCGCAGATTCTTAAAGGGGCCCCCGGGAGTGGGCGGGCCCGATCCGGGGGGCGAGGAGGGAGGGAAGGTGGCGGGTCCGGCAGAGTTAGCCAGAGGCGTAGCTCTGGCAGGGGGAGTTGGGCACCACACCGCAGGGGATGGCGCTTACCGCGGGCCTGCAGCACGCCCCAGCCACGCGTCTCTCCTGGGAGTGACGCGGTGGCTCGGGCGCCTGTAGGCTATACGCTGCCCGAAAAAGCAACGAGGGCCTGCAGACAGGGCGCCGGAGCGGAGCACGGTTCGGGTTCTGGGATTCTGGCGCGCCCCGCCCCGTCCCATCCCGCGGGCACCTTGCCCCACATCCTGTGCGCGCCGACGCGGCTACCTACGCCGCTGGAGTTAGCGGCATTGGGGTAAGAAGAGCTAGGCTGGAGTTGGGGGTGGGAAAGCGGGAGGGAATCCCGTTGCATTACGCTGACCAATGCTTTAACTTCTATCCTAACCTGGAGGGAAGGCTGCTTCAAAGCCTTTCTCCGCAACCCCTAATAAAAGCCTGCAGCCTGGTTATTTATTGGTAAGGTAAATAAATGCACCGCAAGTTTTCAGAGTTGATTCCCCTGATTTATTCTTTCGCCGGTATCCACCCAAATAAAGGGTTATAAACGCTTGTGAATCTTGGTCTCAGTTATGCCCCATAGTCAGCGCTGCTTCTCCACCCAAACATGCCAAGCGCAGCCAGCTGTCAAAAGTAGGAAGGTGAGGTGCAGGCCCCAAAATGTTCACATTCAAGAGTGTGTGGAAAAGGCAGAGAGAGATTTCTAGAAGCCAGCCGTTGGGGAGCTTCTGCTGCCCAGAAATAGAAAGGAAGGGAACTGATCAAGGTCATACTGATCAAAGCAGGAGGGGTGCCAGAGAGAAGGAAGTTTGGGGTATTTGGCCAGGAAGAGGAGCACAGGCCCCATAAGTAAGTGTTGCTGTGAGGTGAGGAGGTGCACCTCCCCATCAAGGATGAAGGGGTGAATGAACTACACTGGGAACAAGGGTGCGAGGAAACCAGTAGTATACTTCCTATTCAAACAAGAGGCCACTAAAGGTGGCAGTGAGGGGAACTGCTGAGGAGGAAGCAGATCCGGCCTCCAAGGAGTGCTGCTGCAGTTGCCAGTTCCACCTTGACAGCAGGAGCGGGTAATGCCTTCCATGGAGGCCAGATCTTCTGCCCCTGTGGATCCTGCCTCATCTTGACTTATGGGTGGGCAAGCCCTGGGTATAGCATCCAATGTTCAGTCCCAAGCATCTCCAGGTGGGGCTGAGAGATCCGTCTGATATTTTGTGGAGAGCTGCTGCCAATCATAGCGGTTGTCAACCTGTGGGTCCCCAGATGTTGTTGGACTAAAACTCCCATCATCCCTGAGCTCTGGCCTTGCTAGCTAGGGGTGATGGGAGTTGTAGTTCAACAACATCTGGGGACCCACAGGTTGAGAAAGGCTGGCTGAGCTAGATGGACCAATGGACTGATTCATTAAAGGCAGAACCTGTACTCCTAATGTAGTTTATACCTCACTGAAGGCTCAAAAGGCATTCTGAGCTACTGTTTCTGTGCTGAGAAACGCAAAAAAGGAGGCCTTTATTCCTCCTAGGAGGTGGTAGGAACTGGGGGTGTGAGTGGAGTAGGACATGGGGTCACCCCAACAAGGAAACCTGTTATGTTCCCTGCTTTCCATCCTTGGGCATAGCCAGGATTTTTCTAGGGGGCAGGCCTTTTGTTGGGGGGGGCAGAACCTCAGTTAGCTATGGATTTCTGTTGATTTAGAGGGGGCAGCTGCCCCCCTGGCTATGCCCATGTTTCCATCCCCAGAGTGTCTCCCCACACCCATAGGGTTTCCTATATGGTTACTGAGCGATGTGAGGTTGGAGGGGTGGTGAATAAGCCTGCCCACCACTTAAGGCCTTGGTGTGCTGCAAGGGAAGTCAGTGTTTTGTTGCTCAGGTGGATCAGTCTCACTTTATATTAAAGTGTCAGGCATTGGGCATAGCTTCCTAAGATCACTAGGTAAATTGCACTACAAAAACAGCTGACCATTTTTTTTTCTACCTATGGCCTTTCGTAGAATAAACTGGGGGGGGGGTTTCAAGCCATTGCTGGACATGTGAAAATGACCTTTGCAAATCTGGAAATGAGAACAGCTGAAATGCATTGTTTAAACTATGTGTCCAACTACAGGGTACTCTTTTTATTCTATGCTTTCTTGATCCAAAGCCATGAAACAGATAAAATGATACATATTAGTAGTCCAACATCTAGTCCAACACATCCTTTTTGAAGGACAAATAATTCTTCCTCAAGCAGCTCCTTTCCTTTCCTTTCCTTTCCTTTCCTTTCCTTTCCTTTCCTTTCCCATATGAGTTTTGTGGTTGAATATTCTTACACTAATGAAACTTGATATGAACTGGATCTGCTGGAAGAAAGGTACTGTATAGCTCAGCAGCTTGCATATTGCCACATCAACATACTGTAGAGTATTTTATGTGGCATCTATTCTGCATCTTATTCTCTGAGACTAACAGAGCAACCAGCAACAATACCAGTCATAGTATTATGTCCCCAGTAGCATAAGCAACCACTTTGCATCATACTGTCAAGTTGTGAGTTGCACAGTTCAGGCTCTATGTTCTCTCTCCTGCCACATTTGGAGGCTAGCCCAGTACCTATCTGGAATCTCGGCCATGGATCTTGGATTCTTTGGTGCATTCCATTGGAGGCACTATTGATTTATTGCTTGTGAATCACTATTGTCAAAGAACAATGGCATCTTATCTTATCCATTCTTTATAAACAGGTGCACACAGATCTTTCTAGCTGTAAACTGCACTTACTGAGAAATCTTGGACTGTACTTCAAAGTCAGAGGCAATGTTATTTGTCTACCTTTAAATTTTAATTAATAACCAGCTGAACCCCTCAGGGCTGTTTCAAGCCTTATTTTTTGCTAGCAGAAAAGGACTTTGTAATGGAGGTGGAGGAGGTGGATGCTGAGAACATAAGTCTTCATAATGTCAGAGTAGTAAGGCACGCATCTGAAAAAACGGATGTTTATGCGATGTGCAGGTTTTCTTTTTGTTTTTTAGTCATATGAATTTATTCTCTCTGCTGGAATTTTTTATTGCAAGTTGTTCTTTTATTATATTGGTATTTTATGACATTGTATTTTAATTGTATTTTCTCACTTTATGTTTGTGAGATACCCAGGGAACAATGTTATTGGGTGGTCTCTTATACATACAGTAAATAAATCAAATCAATTAAGCTGCAAGCCAGATCTGGGGTGCTTCTGTTCGTAGACCTACCTTACAGTGTTGTTGTGGAAGCAAGCAGGATAAAGACAGTATAGTACTTGTGCAAATTAAGGCAAAGGTAAAGGTACCCCTGCCCGTACGGGCCAGTCGTGTCCAACTCTAGGGTTGTGCGCCCATCTCACTTAAGAGGCCGGGGGCCAGCGCTGTCCAGAGACACTTCCGGGTCACGTGGCCAGCGTGACGAAGCTGCTCTGGCGAGCCAGCACCAGCGCAGCACACGGAACCGCCGTTTACCTTCCCGCTATAAAGCGGTACCTATTTATCTACTTACACTTAATTGTGCTTTCGAACTGCTAGGTGGGCAGGAGCTGGGACCGAAGACGGGAGCTCACCCCACCACGGGGATTCGAACCGCCGACCATACGATCGGCAGGTCCTAGGCACTGAGGTTTTACCCACAGCGCCACCCGCGTCCCCTACTTGTGCAAATTAGAAGTCCTTAAATAGGAACAGTGGCATAGGTCATTTGTTCGAACCACAGATTATATCTAAAGCAACAAGTTAATCTCCAGGAAACAATCATAATGTGTAATAACTAAAACTGCAGTTCCTTCCTTAAAGCTATTATACATCATAATGCTGAAACAATAAAAATGATAACCACAAATACAGTCAACAAAATTTAAACTGAAAGGCATCAAGTTACAATTTTCCACATACTGTGCCTTTGCTTTAGGTGCAGCATCAAATGCCACCCAATAAACAATTTTCTGATCCACAGCAATAAGCAGCTACTTGATTATTTCAATTTCTGCCAGATGCTGTTTGTCTTTTTTTAAAAAAACAACCAACAACCAGCCTCCCAACTAAAACAGGAGTAGCAGGCTTTGTAAGATCTGCTAGTTCTATGTCAGTTTGACATTTAACTGCTTGAACATTACCAAATCTCATGCCCACTTTCCCCCATTCTCTATGTCCAGATGAGAGTGGGGAAAGCTACTATCTGGAGAAATGGATATAGAAGTCCACATACCTGGTTGTTTTTTAAATTAAAATGGTAGCAGCAGGGTATGACTGTACAATGCCTTACTCTAATAATAGATTGGCCTCAAGGCTTAATTTGTGCCAAGGCCAGAATCTATTTCTAACCCTAGGATCCAAGAATACACAAAACAATTAGAAAGCAGTCTGATTCTGAGCACATACAGTGCGCCAAACCCTAATCTGTCCTCACATTCTTAGGCTTGAGGACCAAGGTGGGGACTTTCTTTCCAAAAAGCAAGCACCCGCATCATAAGAGCCCAGGATAATTTTAAATAAACCCACATTTAAAGCGAGGGAAGGCCTGGAAGACACTGGGATGGGGAGGACATCATCCTCTTCATACATTTTGCTTCGGAGTAGAGACACTTCCTGGCATTCAGAGGCACTGGCCTCCAAGACCAGACTATACCAGTGGACATAATGACTCGAAGTCCATTTGAAAGCGTCCACACGGCCTTCCAAAACCCAGCTCCAGTTTCCACGTGGCGAAGCGCGGCAGGAAGCAGGCCCGGCCCGGCAGGCCCCGTTCCCGGGCAGGGCGCCCTCGCTCGCTTCCCGCCCGGAGCAGGGCCGCGTTTTCCTGCCGCTCTATCACTCTTCCGCAGCTCGACACTCCGGCGCGCTAAGAGATTCCCGCGCGCTTGTTAGGGGGCAATTAATTAAAAGCGTCTGGCCCGCGGGGCTGTCCCCGCGAGGGCGCTGGCGGGAGAGGAAGAAAGCGACCGGGGAAGGGCGGGAGGAGGGAGGGGTGGGCGCTGCGTGTCAGCTCCCCGCTTCTGGTCCCGCGGGAGGCTGCGGCTGCGCTAATGGGCTTCCCAGCTCCAATGTCTCCGCTTCCTTCTACCTGTCTGTACGCATCGCATCAGCCCGTCTCCCCAGGTCACAGGGGTGGGGAGGGGAGGAGCGGATTGCTTCTCTTCTCTCCCCCCTCCCCTCGCTTCCTGCAGGTGGCATCGGGAGATTGCTGAGCCTCCAGTTCCCGGCGTGACTCCGGCTCGCGAATGTTTTGGGAATGGACCTGGCCAGCAGGGGCCACCCTCTCAGTAATTCAGCAAAAGGGGCAGCCGGCAGAGAAGCCCCGGAGGCGTCTTCGGAGCGAGTTTCTCCTCAGTTCGTGGCGCCCCCCGCACCACGAACCATGGCCTTCATGGGGAGGGGGCGTCTTAGGGGTGACCCGGGTGTCAGGATGCATGCGAGAGGCCCCAGAGGAACCGAAGGGACCCGCCTGGGCAGGAAAGCAAAGGGGAAAGAGGAGCGTGAACGGCAGGCAGGCAGAAGCGCCTTCGCCCTCATCTCCTGAGCAGCAGGCTTTTCTCTCCGAAGCGGCGGCGGAGCTTAGAGTCGACGAACTGCAGGGGCTGGGGAAGAGGCAGGCAGCTGCAGCGCGCGGCGGCTCCGGGGCCTCCCTCGTGGCTCTCGCCGGAGAAAGCCACGTGCCAACATGGCGCTGAGCGGCCACGTGCGCGTCTAGACGGAGGGCCATTTGTTATCGGTGGTACTGAGGGAGGAAGAGCGAGTTAGGAAAGTGCGCCTGGTGGAAATCATTTGAACTAGATTCGGGCTCATCCTCCAGTGAAGGACGACTCTCCGTTTAAACGCAAGACGAGCTTGAGAGGGGAAGCGGGGCGATTCAAGGACGCCAGACAGGGCGAGCCTCAGGAGGACGCATCCAGGCAATTGCTTCCACTTCAGAGGGGAGAAAAGAACTTATCTTCGGCCTTGTCAGTATGCTCACCTTAGTTACCCAATTAAGCTGTGCTGAATGTTGGGCCCAGGCAGAGCTGAGTGAACAGGAAAGGGCCAAGCAGCATTCTTGAGCCCTCCAACCCCAAATTTGTGACCCACAGGGGTGGCCTTTGGGAACATGGAGCCCTGAGCGAGGACAAAAATTGACGCCTTCCCAAAAATATATCTTGTTTTCACAATAATTCCTTTTTTATTTTAGTATTTTGCACTTCTCTAAATCCAGTATGGGTGGCTGTGGGGGACTAGGTAGAAGTCTAGGGCGGCTTTTTCAATGCCGGGGAGCAAGTGCAAAGCGCTTTGCCAGTCCACTAGTATGGAGCAAGGAATCTGAGAGAGAGCCTGATGGGAGATGGAGCTGAGGAAACATTGGCAGACAGGAACAGAAAGGGATGATGTGTCAGGAAAACAATCAAATTTGGGGGAGTAGGGGCACCAAGGATTAGCTATCATTTATATCCTACAGTGGTACCTCAGGTTACATACGCTTCAGGTTACAGACTCCACTAACCCGGAAATCATGCTTCAGGTTAAGAACTTTGCTTCAGGATGAGAACAGAAATTGTACTCCGGCAGCAGCAGGAGCCCCCATTAGCTAAAGTGCTGCTTCAGGTTAAGAACAGTTTCAGGTTAAGAACAGACCTCCGGAACGAATTAAGTACTTAACCCGAGGTACCACTGTAGTCTCTTGCAGGAAACAACTGTCTGGCTATGGCTATGGGAACATCATCAGGGCTCACAGAGCCTGGTGAGGTGACCCAAGGAGTCCAGTGGTTCCAGAAAGTAGTACACAGAATAGATTTTAACATTTCAGCTTGGTGAAACTTAAGACTGGTGCCAACCTCAAACCTTGCATAACCATTAAGTTTCCTCTAGTGCTAAGATCCTGTCTGTATTCCACAGAATAAAAGTAAGAGTTTTTGTTTGTTCAGGCACGCTAGTACATGCTTTAGTACTTTCCAAGTAGAGAGCAGGAGTCAAGATTTATCTTGCCTGAGGTGCCTATAGGACAAAGAATATGATTGTAACCACCACTCTATGTAAGACTTAAGTGGCTAATGCACTTGCCTACTTGATAATGTTTTGTGTTACGACAGCCATGTGTGTAATTCATGCTTCACTTGGCAGTTAGCTGGAATTTGTTTACCTGTTCCCTGTCTCCCAGAATCTTTTTATCACACACCCATATATTCTTGGTTTCCCCTAGCTCTCCTTGTGTCCTCGCTGTTCCCCTATTAATATCTAACTTGGTGGTCTTTTATGCTGTTCTACATCCTTCTGATACATCCTTGTGGCTTTCCCAATTCTCCCTCTCAAACATTAGGTGTACTAGTATTGAGGGGACTCTAATCAAGATCTCTGTAACAGAATACTCTACGGCCCATTTATTAGTTTCCTTCTTGTTACAGAAGCACAGCTTTGGATTGGAGTGGTTACACAAGAACGTAGCAAGTGGTTATGCTGAATCAGACCATTGTCCATCTAGCTCAGTATTGCCTACACGGAATGGCAGCAGCTCCCCAGGGTATCAAGCTGAGAATATCTACCTGGAGATGTTGGGGGTTTATTCGGGGACCTTCAGCATACAAATCAAATGTCCTGCCACTGAGCTATGGCTGTTTTTTCAACAGCCAGCTCGTTTCATCAAAAATTTTCAGAGTTTTTCAGACAGTTTAGATGTCATAAATCATTGGTTCATGGTTTTGCTTCCTTCCACCTCACCTGCTCTCTGGTTTGGCCAGGCAATGTGCAGTCCACCAGGGGAACCCATTTCAGGAAGATCAACACAGATGGTGAACCTCACCTGTGGACAGCTCACTTCATCCATCCACTGTTGGCTGTTAGTAACTGGTGTTTGCTTGGTTCTGTGTTTTAGTGATGAACTGCAAACAGCTTGAACCAAGCTCCATAGAGGCATGGCTTGGAAGCCTCTTTTTCTGGTGCTGAGCCAGCATGCCTGAGCCATAACCTAGAGGGACATCCCCTCTGTGTGTTCTTGGCTGGGCTTACTGTGTATGTCCAGTTGGCTGCTTCCTTTGTCACTGGAGCTGTCATGTGCTGGGGATCTAGAGGTCTCAGCAAGCCACTTAGAGGACAATGGCCCAATCACATAGATACAGTGTGGAGCCTGCACACTGCCAGACCATATGTGCCTGTTGGGGACAATAGCCCTCCAGTTAATATCCCTGCCAGACGGGCCTCTCCTTTCAGAGAAAATGTTTCCTCTCCCTTTATCAACAAATTCAGGGCATAACTGAAAGGGCTGGAGTCTAAAATAAAGATTGCACCGAAGAGAGCACACTTGGAATGTGGCGGCTGGCTTCTCCGCCAGCAGAGACTTCACTTGTGTGGGCAGAGGCCAAAAGAGCCCCAGTTACGTAAATGCACCATGGGCCAGTGACCCATAGCTAGAGTAATGAGAGCCATATCAGCACCATGGACAGGTCAGTATGCAATTCCTAGTTTAAAGCAGCTTTCTATGAACCAGTGTCTGGGCATGCGAAATCTCTAGGCCAGGGGAAGGCAGAAGGTAGATCGAAACTGACTGGTAAGACTCTGGATGTTCTGAAGTAGATTGGCAAGGCTTTCAAACTCCCAATTTATTACACTGCTTAAATTAAGGAAGCCTGGGAAGGGGTTTGCCAGGAGTGGAATTTGTGTGTGTGGAAGGACCATAAGCTCAGTTCAATTCTGGTATTCAAAACCAATCACTTCGGCTCAGATTTGATTTTTTTCTAAGTGAATATATCTCTGGTTGGTGGATCTTTAGTTTCAAGAACACAGCAAAATAGATCTTTCCTTTTTCTAGGCGGAATAGGCGGCTTCCTAGGAAAATACAAGGATTCAGTGCTGAGTGCAGTCAGAGTTCAAAGCCGGTGTAGCTAGCCTGAAATTCACTGAAAACTAGAGGGCTGGCAGTAAGGCACCCTAGAAACCTTATTGAGCTCTTCGAAAGGAACTGTAGTCTGTGAACACTTTCACACTCCACTGCCCATGGCAAGAGAGTGCCAAAAACCCTTTCCCCTGACTGGGGAAATCATAATCTTAAGCAGTCAAGGGTGATTTTGAGAGAGAGAACCAAGTGTTGCAGGATGTGTCATGAATGAAGTGTGAGAGTGAGCTGCTTCAAGCAAGGATTCCGGAAATGTTTTTTGGAAGAGAAGTCCAGTGGCCCAGGACTCTTTTCTGTTCTGCATCTGCATGACCCCACTTTACATGGACAGAAATTTGGTGTTTGGTACACTAAACAGCATCCAGAGAATCTCTGTTTATATTTTAAAAGCATGTTTCTAGTCCTTAACAGACGAGATTTGCAAGTGTGGGAGTTATTTCGGAACCCTCAGAAATCAAAGAAGGGCTTTGTAGAATTTCCAGTCATCAGAATGCAAGGCCTTTCCATAGCTCCTTGGGATGGATAGAAACAAATAAATTATGCAAAGTAAGCAAATTGGTGCAGATTTGCTCAGCTTGCAAAACTGATCTAGGATGCAGAAGTCAGCTTTTCTTGACACAGAATTGGGGGCAATTTGGCATTGAATGTTGAACCCTTCTAATAGACATAACCTTACCTATGAACCATATGGTAGAATGATGAACCTTTTCTCCGTTTTGGCTGCAGTGTGTTACTACTTGGAAAACCTCCTGGGAAATTAAGAATAGCTACTGCTTTGCTTAGATGGCCTTGTGACATGGGCAATGTCCTTTCTTCCTGGGCTTGAGTGATGTCAGCTTGGGCACAAGAGAATAATAGGTTCCATTTGAGGGTTGAAGCTTTTCTCCACCCCCTCCATTCAGCTCCTCCAACCCATCCCAAAACAGGCTCCCAAGGCAAGGCTTCCTAGCATCTCCTTTTACCCAGCACATCAAAAGTGGCGTAAGAGGAGCTGTCTGTCCATTCATAAATGGAACATTCCCGCAGTGCTTAATTAGGCTCAGCAGCCGAGGCGAGCAGTGTGTTCCAGGCCTGATCTTTTGTTAACAAAGTCTGAGGGGACAGTAACTGTGGAGTGAGTGATGGCCACATGCCTTCAGACAGCGGAATTTAGAGATGCTGCAACTGCTGTCTACATCAGGGACAGGCTTTGGAGGGGCTAGAGAGGCAATTTGCTTTGAAACAGGTAAAGCGCCAGATTTGTAATTTTGCCTTTCTTTTAATGTCTCTGACTCCTCCTCAATGGACACACACAGAGAAATAGTCCTTAGCAAGCATGGTAACTGCAAACTGACTTGGGAAGTGGATAGGATTGGCTTCATAAATCTCTTCTGCCGATGATGCTATAAAAGGATGCATCACATGTTCAGGTCCCCCCCCCCCCCACACACACATGCATGCCAGTAGCTCCACAGCACTGGCAGAAGAAACAAAACACCACTCTGCTGTCTCGGCCACATCATAGTCCTATACTGAGCAATATTACCAGGGTCTTGCTTGCAGCAGAAAGGGCTTGATAAATGGTCTGTGTCAGAGTCGCTCAGCTCTGTGCGCTAACATTGTCACTGGAGTGGACACACTGGGCTCGTATGCTGATCTAACCCATCAGAGTAAAGCCCAACATGGTGTCAAGGCCTGTCTGCTCCCAGAAGCCTCACATGGCAAGATCCTCCCTCCCTGCTGGAGAAGTAGGAAGCTTGTTAGACCATTGCTTAAGTGAAATCCCAGGAAGCTTGTTCTTGGTGAG